TCCCCAGGCAATTTTAAATAATCACGCGCCAATGGCCAAGTGCTCGCGGCGCCAAATCCATCCATGACCCTCGGGCCTCGCTCACAGACTCTTCACTGTAAGAAAATAAATAACAAAAATACGGTTAATAGGACATAAAGGTCTGAAAGATCAGTGTGCGTTCACATTTCACATCTCTGGTGTATTTTGATTACATTCATGATGTATACATTATGACAAAACGCGAGGAAATCAAATGCAAGAAGGAAGATAATTGCAACGACCTTGTAGTAACAAAGCGTGCACAGCGCTGCTTGAAGTATGAAGCCCTTAGGAAGGAAAGACTAAGAGCAGAAGCCCTTATGCATGGTGTATGCATTATGACAAAACGCGAGGAAATCAAATGCATGAAGGAAGAACACTGCAACGAACTTGTAGTAACAAAACGTGTACAGCGCTGCTTGAAGTATGAAGCCCTTAGGAAAGAAAGACTGAGAGCAGAAGCCCTTAGGAAGGAAAAACTAAGAGCAGAAGCCCTTAGGCATGATGTATACATTATGACAAAACGCGAGGAAATCAAATGCAAGAAGGAGGAAATTTGCAACGAACTTGTAGTAACAAAGCGTGCACAGCGCTGCTTGAAGTATGAAGCCCTTAGGAAGGAAAAACTAAGCGCAGAAGCCCTTAGGAAGGAAAAACTAAGAGAGAAGTTACGTGCCGACGGCAGTAAGCGAGTTCTAAGACCAAGGTTACGATCCAACAGCAGTATTAAACGTACCAACGGCAGTATAGAACACACCAACGGCAGTATAGAACACACCAACGGTAGAATAATACGTACCATCTGTATAGAAACAGGTTGTAGTGCGCCGAGGGACAATGGTGCGCGATGTACGGAATGCCTCAGAAATTACAATGCTAAAAGGACGCGGCTGAGAAGAGAGAGTGATCTCAAAGAACACAACTCGTTGTTTACAAGATGCCAATGGGCTTTATGCGAGAAAAATATCTACAACGCTCCTATCAGTATCTACTGCAAGGCACACACTCGAATCCGTACGCAGAATAATACAAGTGATCGAAGGAGACGTGCAGTAAACAGAGCCAAAACATGGGAGAAGTTGTTCCGCAAACCACCGAAGGGTGCTGATTCAACACGCACTAGTGGGCGTTATGTGAAAGATGATTCCAGAGCACTTCAACAGTGTGGGGTTGTCTGTCAGGACCACTCTGTATGTGGTAACTGGACAAGGAACATTATCCCCATACACTGTCTTCACAAAGCCAACCAAACCCGATATGGTATGCTGTGTGATATGGATGAATATTAGCGTGATTTGACTGTATCTTTTATCTGGTTCAGCATTACAAAATACAAATTTGCAGACTTACACATTTACTTTCTCAGTACCTACATCAGCGTCGGCTTGGCCGAAATACGTCAGAAGCTGGAAACATATCAAGGATGATATCTATGAAGGAGTCTGTTTGCATCCGTGGTGCAAGGAAGTACAAAGGTATACATGGTGTTCTATTTGATTCGTCTCCTTGAATTTGAATTGTTTTGGGTTCAACATACGTTGAACCATTGAATCCCTAGCACCTTCTGTCTGCATACATTGAACCCCTAGTACCTTCTGTCTGCACACATTGCCTAGATTTCCTTACTGCCCGACCCACATGGCGATCACACTTGCCGTCGAGGTAAAGCAGTCAACCATCCCCTCCCTTCGGTACGGGTTGTTTGTGCTGGCTGCGTTCGTAGCCGATGAGTTTATAGTTGAGTTGGCCGGCGAAAGACTCCCCACCACCGGCGACGTATGTGAAGGTGACTATCTCATGTCGGTCGAGTACAATGGGGAGCGGATCATCGTGAACAGTGATACCAGCATGCATGGAGTGGGGCGGTACGCCAACACGGGGGTCAATGCGTTTCAGAACAACGCCAGGTTTCAGGCCTATGTGGTGGATGGAGTGCTGCGGGTGTATATCATGGCCACACGACTGATAAAGAAAGGAGAAGAGATCTTCGTGGCGTATGGTCCCGATTATGATCTGAGAAACTCGCGCACGGATACGAGTAGATTTAGATAAACACATGAGTTCCTTGCTCGATGATGTTCGATAGTATTCCAACGTTAACAAAGCCTCAGCAGTCCGAAGGGAATGCAATGGCGTGTAAGTGGCTTGTTCTGGTCTCATATACAATTTATTGTATCCGCTATAGCGAAAGTAGTAGATATTATCAAATAAACTATAACTGATTTAATGAGCCATTCGCAGTTTCACAATATAAATATTTATACTTAGACATGCATGGCTTAATCTTTGAGACAAGCATATGACTACTGGCAGAATATGCTAAAATTCAGCAGGTAGTCTTGATAGTTATTAATATGCTTAAATTCAGCGGGTAATCTTGATAGTTATTAATATGCTTCAATTCAGCTGATAGTCTTGATAGTTATTAATATGTTTAAATTCAACGGGTAGTCTTGATAGTTATTAATACGCTGAATTTCAGCGGGTAGTCTTGATAGTTATAAATAT